GGCTGCCGCTTGTTGTCATTTTTTGGTGATTTATTGAGTGCGTTTGCTTTTGCTTTTTGTTTCTCTAGTTCTTCTGAGTATCACTTGAGTGCTGCCAGGACTGGGTGACAGGCAAGTAGAGTGAGCTTTGGGGACGGGGGCAGAATGATACTGTGGAAGGAGCCAGCCCTGGCTTCGTCCTCTGGTCTTTTTTTTTTTTTTTTTAAGATTTATTTGTTTATTTGCGAGAGCGAGAATGAGAAAGAGAGAGCACATGAGACGGGGGAGGGTCAGAGGGAGAAGCAGGCTCCTCGCTGAGCCGGGAGCCCGATGCGGGACTCGATCCCGGGACTCCGGGATCATGACCTGAGCCGAAGGCAGTCGCTTAACCAACTGAGCCACCCAGGTGCCCCGTCCTCTGGTCTTTAACCCAATGGAGAGAGCGACCCTTGTCCTTGGTGCCGCCGGTCTGAGGAGCAGTTGTCCCAAGGAGGCTGTTGTTACCAGGGACTGCAGCATGTGAAATTATTAGTATCAGAGAAAACCCAGAAATTTCTGGGAAGCGTGGGGGAATTGACGATATCGAGGCCTCTGTTCTTGGTGGCCCTGGATGCTGTAATTCATTCATTCATTCATTCATTTATTTATTTATTTATTTATTTGAGCGAGAGAGAGAGAGAGAATGAGCATGGGAAGGGGCAGAGGGAGAAGCAGACTCCCTGCTGAGCTTAGAGCCCGACATAGGGCTCGATCTCAGGACCCTGAGATCATGACTTAGTGGAAGTCAGACACTTAACCGACTGAACCACCCAGGGGGCTCCGGATGCTGTAATTCTTATATGGTATTAAAGTTTCTTACACCCATGCCTCCTCTAAGTGGACTGCAAGCTATGAGCTCATAAAGCTCCTTGGAGTTGCTGTCTTAAGGCCCTGTACCCCTCTTGAACATAGCAAAGCAGATGCTTAGGACATATTTGTTGTACTTGTTGAACAAATGACCTCAATAAGGTATTAAAATGGGATCCAGCAAATTCCATGTTAGGCACCTGCATAGGCGCTTCTCTCCCCTTTTGGGGCTTTATAACAGCTGGCCCAAACGTTCCCAGTGTCTTCCTTGCCCTTTCTCTGGAGACTTGAGGTTGGGTCAGTGGTGTTGGGGACAGCTCCAAGTCTGATGGTGAGGACACAGTTTGCGGACAGTCCCAAATTGGTGGTTTTAAAAGACAGCTGTACATTTTCTGACTGTCCTTTCATCAAAAGGTAGGGTCTTTGTCCCCTTCTCCCGGGATTGGGGCAGAATTATGACTGCTTCAACCAGTACAGGGTGGCAGAATTGAGACCATGTGACATTCAAGGATGGGTAGTAAAAGGCAGGGAAGCTTCTGCCTTGTCAACTAGGAAAATTGTTCTTCTGGATCCCTCCGTCACCATATGAGAAATCCAGCCATCCTGAAGCTGCTGTGCTACGAGGCACCCAGACTGCACGGGGAAGCCACACGCAGGTGCCCCCGCTGCCAGATCCAGCCGAGTCAAGCCTTCACGCCACCCCAGCCCAGGCTTCCCTCATGGGAGTGAAGACCCCTCCAGATGATTCCGGGCACCAGGCATCAAATCACCCTCAGCTCAGCTGTTCTGAGGCTTCCTGGCCGTGTCCTCAACATCACAGAGCAGACATAAGCCATCTCTGCTACACCCCAGATGCCTGACCTACAGCATCCATGTGTATAATCAAATGGTTTATGCCACTGAGTCTTGGGATGGTTGTTACGCAGCAGTAGTAACTGGGACACCAGGAGTCCAGTTTGCTGGCTTCTGACTTCTGGCCTAAATTTATTATCCTTCCCATGAAGGGAAACTTTTCCAGGTCCTAAACTTTCAGTTTTCCTCTCCATCAAGAAGTACATGCAAGCAAGAAAACAAACAAACAAAACAAAACAAAAAAAACAAAAAAAAAGGAAGGAAAGAAGGGAGGGGAATAAAAGACTATGTCTTGGCTGAGAAACGCCATCAGCACTTCGCTGTGATCACCCGCATTGGACTTCCTGTCCAATTTGCACTGAGCACGATCTCTTTGGTTTATTTCCTAAATCCGCTGGCTTTGTTCCATATTTTGCTGTTATAAAAAGAATCACCTAGATTCTGCCTGGTGTAAGATTTGCCTCCTCGGTGACACACTCAGGCTTGCCAGCTGACCTTGATAGGACAGAGCCAGACCCACGGGCTCCTCATTGCTCTGACACCAGGGGGCTCCAGGAGTCCTCTGTTGACATTCTCTAGGAAGGGTCTCTGGACCCCCACTTAAAACAAGGAAAGCCTTGAACAGTTTTCGCCAGCTTCCTAGGTGCTGGGGAGATTGGTCTCTACCCTGGGAGACACCCGGGTCTCTGGGAAATCAACAGGGTGCCAAGAGTGTGTAGAGGGTGGCCCCGGTGTCCAGTGAGGGAGCAGCACAGCCTCCTGGGCGCACGGGGAGGCAGAAGAGGTTGATTCTAGAGCCTGGGGGCTCACTCCTACAGCCCTCAATGAGAGTTGAATTTAGTTGACTGAATTAGTTTGGAAAGGCCAGGACCCTGCTGTCTTCAGTCTTGGGCAAATCTTGGTCTTACTGGTCTTACTGGCCCTACTGTTTCTGAACTGCATGGCTCGGACAGGTCACTTACAGGTCACTCTTTCTTACAGCCACCGCCCTGATAGTGGGAGGATTAAACGGGATGGGGCACCCAGCCCAGTGCCTGGCATTTGGAAAGTTCTCAGTCAGTGGTAGCCGTTGACATGACTGCCTAAGACCTCCAGCAGTTTGTTGTCGAGCCTTGTGACAGCCTGTTCCTCCAAAGACTGGACATTCCTCGCAGTAGCCCTAGCCCCTAACACGGCAACCTGCCGTTTACATTTCTCTCGGCTCCTAGCTTGTGAGTTCTCTGAGGGCAGGAGCCGTGTCTTGGTGCCACACTAGCTTATAAAAAGAAGGAAATAAGTATTGTTTAAAAGGGTAAGTGTGTTGATGGGTCCTAATAGCCGAATGACTGTGCAGGAGGGACGGAAGATGTCAAAACTTAACCCAGTGCCCGTGTTAAGGCGAGTACTTAGATGCTCAAGTGTGGAGGCTGGCTCGGGTTAGCTTTCCTGAGAGCGGGGAAGGGGTGAGAAGAGGCAGGCTGGGCTCTGGGAAAGGAGGTAGCAGCTGTGGGGCGGGGGGCAGAGTGGAAGTTGGGGTCCAGAAGTGCCCTGGGTGGTGTCAGGAGATGTAATTGTAATTGTGATTTTGTTCTTGTTCACAGCAGTGGGGGGGGGGGGGGCATGCAGCATACAGGCATCCCTGAGGAACTCTGATGGCCTCTCAGAGTTGTAAGACCCTTCTTAAGGGGTGGGTCTCATTTTTGAGAGAGAAACCCACTATGGGTTTGCTAACAAAGCAAACCCCATGGGCCAATCCTTGGCACAGTAGATGGGTAGACCGCAACACTAGCACCCATGCTCTCGTGCAGTCCCTCCCACGTTGACTCTCCACTTGGCCACGTAACTGGCTTGGCCAGCAGGACATCCATAAACTTTATGGGAGCAGAGAGTGAGGGGGAAAAGACTTCAGCAAACTTCTTGAGCAGGAACCCCCTTAACAGCTTCTGGGGAGACCCGCGGGACGCCCCCGTGCCAGTGTGCTCCTAAGGCCAGTGAGCCGCCCCAGTTTGCTAGGAGAGCACAGTTGTACGGAGGAAGAGGAGGGACCAGGCACAGAAAGGTGGGCTAGGGCAGTGTATCGAGGCCTTAATGGTCCTGGGCTTTTCTCCTGAGGCACCAGGGACCTGCTAAGGCAGCACAACGCTTGACGCTCCACGAGAGGAATGTGGACAGGATTCGGAAGACGGATGAGAAGCTCGATTGGGGGACCCCTATCCTGAGCAGGAGACAATGAGGGCCTGACCTGGCGAAGGCAGTGAAAGGAGCGAGGTAAGTGGACGTGAAGAACACTGAGGAGGGGGAATCCACGGGATCTGGGGCAGGTGGCGGAGGGGAAGTGAAGGGAGAGCCTGAGATGATCGACATTGTGGAGCTGTGTGACTCAGGGGTCGACTGTGCTGGTCACAGGAATGACAGGAACCGGCTGGGGGGAGAGCGATGAAGTTGGTGAATTTGCCAGCCTGGGGAAAACACACAGGGGGTGCGTGTACTTCTGAGGCTCGGGAGAGAGGGCCCAGTTAGAATGCAGATGTGGGTGTCTCTCCATCCCCGGGGGACTGTCAGTACAGGGGAGTGGGTAGGATGAAAGGGAAAGGAGAAGGGGTAAGATCAGAACCCAGGCCACCCCCAGTGACTAACCCGGTCATCAGGTCAGCACTGCCGAGGCTGGGTACCGGGTTAGGGCCCTTGTCGCTCTCCTTTCATTGGATGCCAGGCCTCTCTTATGGCTTCATGTTCCTGTCTCCCACTGGGCCTGTTCCAAGCCAGCCCACAACCCAGTCAGTGCTCTGAGTTGGACACCATTGAGTCACACACACACGCACACACACATGCACACACACACACACACACACCCCACCGGTATGCAAGCCTCTGGGAAGAGCTGTTCAGAGACTTTTCTGGAAGTCGTTGACTCTTTCCCCAGAAAAATCTGCCTGCAGGAGAGCTGGTTGATTTGACACACAATTTCAAAGGGCTGTCAATTTGTGATGTCCACTCTTAGGCACAGCTGAAGGAACTCTGCTCACGGTCAGCTGTCTCCTTGAGAAAGTTCGAGCGTCAAGAAAGACTTGTTAGCTCAGGCTGGCCGGGGAGATATCTCTGCCCCTTTCAGTTTCCCAGAGGTGGGTCTTCCCGTACGCACTCCTTGATGACTCTTGTCAGTAATTATGAGTGCCACACTCTTGAAATCACTTGCAACCCCTCCTCTTTTTTTCGGAAGACAGTCCAAAGGTGATAAAAGAGAGGGACAGACGACAGCCTGGGGTCCAAAAACTGAGATGGCCCTGGGGGCCAACCCCAGCCACCCGTTGCTTGGCCAGCCACTTCATGACACCCTCCATCCCTGAACAGTTTATAGTACAAATTTATTTATGCACGTATTTATACAGAATACAAACGGTCGGGGACGCCTACGCCCCCTTAACCAACCAGCGCCCAGACCGAGAAGGTCCTGCCCCAGGAGTCCGAGGTGAGTTCTCAGGAGGCGGTTTCTCGACCAGACGGAGGAGGCGGGGCCGGAGGCGCGGTCAGAGCTGGGCGTAGCTTCCGACCACGGGGCGGAGTCGGGGCGTGGCCTGCACCCCGGGGTTGGAAGACCGCTCTCCGCCCGGGGCACTGGGAGGGGAATGGGGGTCCACTGGCGTCCTACACGTAAGCGTTCTTCCCATACTTGCCAAAGGTGCTGTCGCCTTCGTCCGAGGCCGCGGGGCGCAGGTGGTCAGTGAGGCCGGGGGACCGCACCGCGGAGGCCTCGTAGGGGAGCCTGGTTCAGAGAGGCCTGGGTCAGCGGAGGGGAGCCCCCCATCCCGCCGCCGCCGCCGCCGCCGCCGCCGCAGCACGCCGCCCTTACCTGGGAGCCGGGGCCGCGTCGGGAGAGCGGCAGCAGCCGGAGCCGAGGCAGAGGCCGCCCAGGATGGCGAGCAGGGAGGCGCTCCAGCCCAGGTAGAGGGCGGGGCCCAGCTCGTACCTGGGAACAGGAACCGGGCGGGGCAGCGCTAGCTCGGCCGGCCGAGTCCCACCCACAGCCCCCCAGGGCGGGGCTCCCACACTCACTTGGTCCCTGCATACACGGGGTCGAAAAATTCCTGGGTGATGTTGAAGGCGTACCAGGAGATGGCCACCATCCCGCAGAAACCTGGGGATGGAGAGGAGGGTCACGCTCGAGCCCCAGGCCCGGCAGAGGGGCAGGAGGAGGGGGTGGCGCAAGTCCACGAGCAAGTTGCACTCCCTCCCTAGCTCCTGACCTTTCTGCCTCCTAGGATCCCAAGCGCAGCCCCTCTTTCATGTCTAAGTCTCCCACGTTCTGCCCTTGGCCCGTTCTTTATCGCGACCCGCCCCGCATCTTGATCACCTAGCTGCCTCACTCGGAATCTGCCCCAGTCAAATCCTACCCGTCCTGGGAAATCCAGCTGCCCCAGCAACGGTCGGGCGCAGCCTGCCCTTAACGCCCGTTTCTTCGGCCTCCCAAAGCCCCCAGAGCCTGTGACATGCCTTTGGCACTCAGTGCAGTGAAGGCCTGAGGCCAGGGAGACCCCTGGACTACAGGACCAGCCTCACCCCTCTCTGGGGGCTCCTCCAGTTAAGTCACCGGAGTTTTCTGAGCCTGTTTCCACATCTAGAGAAGAGGGCAAGACCCACCCTACCTCACAGACTGAAAAGAGATGGCCTGTCGCCTGGTGTTGTTAGTGTGTGCAGTGGGTTTGCATGTGTCCCCCTGACTCTGGTCTTCCTGGCCGGGCTGTAAGCTCTGCGGGGGCGGGGGGGGGGAGACGCTCACTCACCTTTGGGGTCCCTCTCACACCTGGCTCATGCCTGGCTCCTAGTGCGGGCTCAAGAAACATTGCTGATGGACTGATTTGTAGCTGAGGGATTTGGGTGAGCATGAGGCTGGGTGAGCCGGGGGAGAGGAATTGCTGAGCAAGGAGGGCGCGTGTCAGTGCAATGGGGAAGGTGAGACACACACTGGTCGTGAAGAGCTGGAGAGGACAGGGAACCCCGGGTCCACTGCCACCACTCTCAACCCCCGACCACAACGCAGGGCACACCCACCACCTTCCCGCAATTACCAGCCAATATGTGTAGGGCCCCCGCAGTGGCCGCCAGCTTGGCCTTCCGGGAGAGGTCCATGCTCCCAATGTTTACGCAGCGCAGCCCCACCATGCCTAGGAAGAGGCCCAGGAAGCCCAGGAAGATGGCGGTGATCATGAGCGCCCGGCAGGCCTGGATGTACCCTGGGGAGGTGGGGCGCAGCCATGGGTCCCTCAGCTGGCCCCTTCCCCCTCCACGACCGAGCCAGCCCCTTACAGCCAGCCCCTGCTCGGGTCTCAGCCCATAAAGACCCTCAAGTCCTCTCCTTCCCCGTCAGGCCCTATTCAACTGAAGGGTCCACACGGTCTCCTTCCCAGGAGCTCACCTCAGCCCCAAGGAGTCTTAGCGTCTGCTCCCCGTCCCCCACCTGGCCTCGGTGCGCTCCGAGACAGGCTCGCTCCTGGCACTACTGACACCGGCCAGTTAGTGCTCTGTTCTGGGGGCCGCCCTGTGCATTGTGGGATGTTCGGCGGCATCGCTGGCCTCTACTCATTAGATGTCAGTAGCAATCCGTCCCAAGAGGAGCAATCAACATGTCTAGACACTATCAAATGATCCCTGAGGGACAAAATCACCCCCAGATGAGAACCACTGGTCTGTTAGGTCCCCACCACGCTCTGTTGTGAATTACAGAAATTGCACTGGAGCACTCCAGCCCCTTCCCCGCCGTCTGCTTCTCTCTAGGCCCCACCTGGTGCCTGGCACAGCCCTAATCGTCCGGAACTGAGCTTTCTCCCGAAGCGACCGGTAGGGGGCAGCGGCGGCCTACAGGTCACTGGGCGAGGGCCTTTTCCGCCGGGGAAAGTGGGACACCTGGGCCAGGACCCATCCAAGCCCGTCTAGCTCAGGTGTGTTTCGTGCCTCAGTTTCCCCTTTCTCAAAGCCGAAGGAAACGGCCCCCTTCCTTCCTGGTCCCCCCGCCCCCCTTCTCTGTGATGGTTGCCAAGCACTCCGAGGACCTTGCTCCCCTTTCCCTGGGCGGGGCAGTGCCTCTGGTGCTGAAGGCAAGGCTGGGTCTCTGCCAGGAGGGTGTGGCGTGGCCCGGGGTTGGCGGGTAGGGAGGAGGGACAAAGTTCTCACTCCCAGCCACGCCCTCTGGAGTTCCCACCCTCTCCCCTGCCCCATATCCTCCACGCACGCATTCATCCACGCTTCTCTACCTGGGACTTGCCTGGCCCTGGGTCCCCAGGTGGCCGTGGTAGAACAAGGGGGAGATTACTGGTGGGCCCCGAGGGAGCACGGGCTGGGCGGGATTAAGTGACAGGACCCACCCCCCCCCCAGGACCCGCCAGCCTGGGTTCCAGCCCCCCTACCACCTGCGGGATTCTGGGCAGGTTAAGGCCCGTCCTTGGGGCTGCTTCCCAGCTTTGGTACCATGAGGCCACTAACAGGCTCCACGGAGACAGCGCTGAGAGGGAACAGCTGAAGAGCCTAGAAACCACGTCTGGGGCCCAGATGACCCCCAGCACTGGGCAGTGGCCCCCTGCCCTTGCCCGCCAGCATGCTCTTGCCCCCCTGTCAGCAGTTCCAAGCAGGGCCCTTCTCGGGCGGACGGGCTCACAGCAAAGGCCCCTCCTCAAGCCACGGCGTGGTTGGGGTGGGGGAGGTGGGAATGGCCACGGCTGCTGCGTCGGCTGCCTCCAACCTCTCTTCAGGCCACCCAGCATTCTGGGCTTCTGGCTCAGAGGGTACTCAGCTTTTATAGGGAGCTTTGCGGGTTGGGGGGGGCACCTGCCTTGCACACAGTAAGTCCTGGGGAGAGGGATGAAAGCATGAAGCCCCTACTGCTGTCTCAGAAGATTCTGGGAATGGTGGGGGCACGGAGACCCACCCAGATCCCCTAATTTCTCAGAGAATCTTTGGCATTCCTGGGGGATTTCGTGGAGCCCTGTTCCAAACCCAGCGCTGGCTTCAGTTCTGCCCACTACCCTGCACCTGCAGTAGGGGACCCGAAAGAGCACGATGGCTCCAAGGAGGGCGTGGGGGCAACACTGAATAGGGCACCTGATCCTCCCCTCTTGGTCTCTGGCATGGGGCCGACTGAAGGGACACTCCCCTGGGAAGTCCCGGGGGGCTACTCATAGGGTGAACAGGAAGCAGGAAGACGCGACAGCCACCAGGGAGAACCTTCCTGGGCCAAAAGAGCTGTAGTTCCAGCCCGCAAAGAACTTCAAAAAATACACTGCCCGAGAACGCCGAGCACACGCACGCGCACGCGCGTGCGCACATACATCCCCTACCTGCTTCCAGACCCTCAGAGCTTCAGGGAGACTCCCTTTCAAAGGGTCCTTTAGAACTCGCCATGGCAGTGGGACTGATGCCCCAGCGGGAGCCGGAGGCTCTTACGTGTCTCAACCCCAAGAACCCAAGACGGGGCACCCTCCTCACCCCACAAACCCCAGCCCTCCCATGCCAGAGCTAAGATGCTGAAATTGGCTGTGTGCATACATATGCTAACATACCACGCTAACATTCTGTGTGCTTTATCCCCAACACACAGCCATCCCATGAGCCAGGGCTATTATTACCCTGAGCCTACAGATGGGGTCAATGAAGCGCACGTATCACCTGCCTGGGGCACAGAGCTAGTAAACAGAGCCCAGCAGGCAGACCCTGGTGCCTGCAGTTGTAACCACTAGGGGTGTCACATTAGGGCAGGGGGACACGTGGAATGAGGTCTCTACCGCCGTTCCAGAAAGGGCGCTGCCCCCACCCCCCAGCTTGATCCAGGCCTCCCTTGACAGTCTGGCACCCAAGGCCCGACCACGGGCAGCACCCACCCTCTCCGGGGGTCTCTCCCTCCTCCAGCCTCCTGCCACCCTCTGCCCCCTGGAGCTCTCCCCATCCCATACCAGAGAGGGCCAGCAAGGACGGGAACTCCCGGCAGTTGTAGACTCCCATGGAGTCGGTGGCACAGCTAAACCAGAGGTTCTCGAAGATGGTATTGGTGGTGATGACGCTCCCGTGCACGGTGGACACTCGCCAGTAGCTATGTGGCAGGGTCACCCCCAGCATCAGCAGCCCCAGCGCTGCCATGAAGAAACCGAAGGTCTCCACGGCCACTGACATGGTGGGATGCAGGGCCCCGAGGGGCACTGGGGGCCCCAGAGAAGGGGAGGGGCTGAGCCCCACAAGAACTTGAGGGGCTTTGCCTAAGTTGGGGCGTAAAGGCAGGCTGGGGAGAGAGAAAGGGGGGCCAGCTGCAGTGTGGACCTCACGTCTGTCTCCCGGTTTCTGTCGTCAGCCCTCTCTCTGGGTCTCAGCTTCCCGGAAGGTCCGGGCAGAGGAATGAGCCTAGAGCACCGGGCAGCTGTTGACGAAGAGATGGAGGGAATAAAAGAAACCGGCCAAAAGTCCACCCCCTCCCCCAGCCTCTGGGCTCCCCGCCCCAGGAGGGGGGCGGAGAGGACTTATGGGAGTGACGAACAAACGGATACAGCCAAGGAGGGGCCCCCATGGGAGGCAGTGGGAGCCAAGGGGAAGCGTCTCTGACTCAGCCTTCATCGGGGGCCAGAGAATGGAAGACGACGACAAGGAGAGACAAGGTAACCGAGAGAGTGCCCACAGACAGACCTTTGGCGTGGCAGGGTCCGGGGAGCAGACCCACTCTCCTGGATGTCGGTGAGAACAACTTAAGAGACGCAAAAGACCTAGGATTTGGGCCAAATCTTCCAAGGAAAATTCAGGTTGAATAAGGGAACAGGGTATTTGGGAGAAACCCACTGCTCTGGAGTCCAACCAACCCGGATTCAAACCAGACCCAGTATTTACCAGAGCGACGCAGGCATGAAGTTTGAGCCCCATGAGCTTGTTTCCGTTTCTGTGAACTAGAACTAGCTTCCTCACCTCATGGGTTGTATTAAGACCCGTGACCCCAGATCAAAAGCTCCCCGCGAGTGTGAACTGCTCCCTCCTTGATGACCACCCTGGGTCTGGACACCACAGGCTGGGGTGAGGCCACCAGTTGCTTTCCTCCAAACTGCAACTTCCTAAACTTGAATTTCCCCCCTTGTCGCATTAATCTTTGATTCTCAGCACCAAGCTTGATCTTGCGGCCAAGGGCCACTGAGGGGGATAAATTACACGCCCAGAATGTGATCCTGTGGCTAATCAGCCATCAGAACTGTCACCAGCTCTATTAATTATGGATTAGAAACCTCCAGGTCCCCACCCCAAGCCGACGGCAAGCACCTGTCCCAGTGTGGATGGTACCATTTCCTGCCCCTAGGCCACAGCCAGGCCAGCTCTGGTTCTCCTCCTGCAAATGCAGCAGGGGCTCAGGCTCCAGGGGACAGGGGCTGGACGCTACCCCCAGGCAGTCTCACAGGATATCACTGAGCCAAGTGTATCCCCCCACTACCCCCCCCACCCCGTGTCAGGCTCCCTTGCGCTCCCCTCAGGGGCCTCCTCCCCAATCCCCCCAAGCCAGGCTGGCTTGGCTGTGGAACGAGAGGTATGCAGTGAAGCAAGACAGGCCCATGCTGAGCCTGGCACCGGGCGGGTGTGGGGCAAAGCAGGCTGGGTGGGGACTGCGTCCTGACCTTCCATCTCTGAGCTGACAACCGGGATGTCCTGGGTTTGTAACTCTTCTCAAGAACTCTTGCCAAATGCCCATTCCTGCCCCCGGGCAGCGGCCCCTCCTCTAAGGACGGGGTGGGCGGGGTGGTGGTGGTGGTGTGTGTGCCGGAAGACAACGGGAGGGAAGGGTGGAGGTTTTAGAGGAAACTGAGTGGGGGGGCCCCCCTGGTGTGGAAAACTCCACGTGCTGAGAGGCAGCTGTGTGGGTCGGAGGAGACAGGAGACATAAATCCTGTTCTGTCCCCTCAGCTCTGCCCTTCCCGCCTCCAGTCACTGCTTTCTCCCGGGATTCTTGTGCCACGCAAAGGCCTTGTCCCCGTCCCCCGTCCTGCCTACCACTGCTCAAGCACACAGCTTTGGGGGAGGAGGAGGAAGGAAGGGCGTGGGGTCTGGGCAGCTTGGCAGACAAAGGCAAACCCCACACCAGCCACGGGGGGTAGGAGTAAGAAGGTGAGCAGGAAAGGACCACGGGTGACCCCCACCTTGGGGCCCAATGGAGCCCGCCCCTTCCTCCACACGGACACAGCAGTTCCCAAGCCAAGGCCCAGTTTTATTTACACTCATCCCGGAGCACATGGTTTGGGGCTACTGGACACGTCTCTGGGGAAAGGAGGCTGAACGCCAGAGGGCAGTGATGGGGTGTAGAAGAAAGAGCAAGGATGGATGGGTCCCCCCTCTTCGAGTGTCCTCCATAGGCTCCCACGTATCCCTGGGCAGAGGCGGAGGTGCAGTCTCATTCAGGATTTGGACTTGGACACAGCAAGTCCGATGAGTCCAGCCAGACCTGCCACGCCCAGGGCCATGCCTCCAACAATGGCCATGCCCACTAGTCCATCTGGGAAAGGGAAGAGGGAGACCGTCAGGAGCCCAGCCCCGACAGGGACCCTGCCCACCACCTTCTTTCTCCCTGCCCGATGCTCCTCAAAAGATGTGCCTCTTCCCCTGGAGTCATGAGGTGAGGGACTCCAGGGCTTGGAGAAAGAAGGCTTCTGAGGGACTGAGCGGGAAGTGCTTGGGTGCGGAGGGAGGGGGTCATTTAAAGGGAGACCACAGAGAGCCCAGCCCAGGCCCGGGGGGCGGGGGGGAAGAAGAGGACTTAACCAAGAGCCGAGAGGCGCCCGGGGACGGCTGGGGCCCAGGACAGTGGGGAGTGGAGACGGTCAGAGAGGAAGAGTTCACCTTTCTTCATGGCCTTGTCAATGAGTCGTTCCAGTTCCTTGGCCTGGTTGTTCTGGGGCTCAGTCTGCAGCAGGCCCCGCACATACTTTAATGCCTTCTCATATTCCTGCACTCGGGGAAAACATCCCACACACCCACACCCACACACCCATACACACACACACACACACACACACACACACACACACACACACCCTCCCTCAGTATTCTGTCACTCCTCCTGCCCATCAGAGGGCCTTCCCTTCACTGGCCCTGGGGGATCCTCCCTCTGCCTCCACCACCCCTCCTCCTCCCTGACTCCAGCCCCACCCAATGGAGTAGAGTCCACAAACCACCCCATCTGTGTGGGGGTGATAAGCTGGAGGAGATAACAACGCAAGGCTTGGGGCTGCACCCCAACCTGAGGTCACCTTGCTCCCCACACCCTCGGCAGCTGGAATCTCTCTCACATTCCCTCAGCCTGCTATATCCTTGCACCTCTGTCCCCAACACCACCCTCCTTGGCCTTCCTGAGGCCCAGGGCTGTCCCGTGGCAGAGACACGAGAGGGTGCTGTGGCACCGCTGCCTTACCTTGAGCCGGTAGTTCCCCACAGCCAGGTAGAAGACATAATCCCGCTGCTCCTCTTTGCTCCCTTTGGGCAGCAGCTCTGGGGAGGGTGGAGGAAAGAGGGTGAAAACCGCTTCTCTTCTTTCCTGGTGCTTGTGTCCCAGAGACCCCGTCCATTCTCTGAACCCCTGTATGATCCTGGGAGAAAGTCACTGTCCTGTGCTTCCCTTCCAGCTCCGGCCACTCGTGGCTTCCCTGTCAGACCTCCGGGGCACCACGGACCCAGGCTGCCAGACACCCGGTGATCAACACCCTGGTCTCCATACTGCAGTCAGCTCCGGCTCATCTAAGTGAACCGACAGGAAATCAAGGCGCTGGAGAAGCCAAAGACAGCTCTCCTCACTTCTAGCACCTGCTGCGCGTTCTCACTGCGGTCACTTGCTGCCCAGACTAGTGTTCAAGTGAGTGTGCCCTCCCTCCCCCTTAAAAAAAAAAAAATCGGCTCGAAGCTCATCTTCTGTGAGCCATCCCCTGAGTGACATGACCTGATTCTTTCTTAATTCAGTGACTTCCCAGAGGCTTATGTGCTCGGTTGTATGCTATGCAGAATTTGGTAGTTTCGTGGGTGTTTATCAATCTTCCCAAGTGTCTGTTCTGTCTCCTCAACTAGAACTGGCAATGCTTAGAGACCCCATCTACGGCTGTGCCCAGCTGTAGCGGAAACCCGAAAAATCTGAATGAGCCAAATGGGCAAATGCAGGGTGAAGTTATTTGCATTAGAAAAGATTCTTATTTTTATAGATTTACAATGGCCGTCCTTCGCTAGTACGCTTTTGCGTACACATGATTACTGGACCAAGAGAAAGGGTCCAGGAGGCAGAGAAATTTAAAGGTCAGGTATTGTGGCCTCTGACAAATGGTGACCCATCCAAAACCAATAGGAATAGGATTCCAATCAAAGCAGCGGCCATCTGCTCCCAGGTTTGGGGGCCTGTCTTCTGTACTTCTTCCACACCATCCGCATGGAAGGTTTTCAACAGCTGCTGAATAAGCAACACGGTGGGGCCAAAGAGCAAGGGTCTAGAACACACAGGACAGGAGCTTCTGGTCCTAATTCGGCCACGAATTCATTAGCTGTGTGACCCCAGACGAGTCACTCTCCTCATGGTCAGGCTGCCAGATTGCCAGAGTCCTGCGGGGACTGCCGTGCTCTGACTCTGGCTGGCTGAACAAGGATGAGGTGGTAATTAGCCAAAAGCACCCTGGGAGAAGCCAGGCTAAGGGGCAGCCCTTTGTCGCAGCTCTTTACAGGGACATAACTGCGAGGTGACTATTACAGGCTCCCGTGTTGAAAAAGGATCCCAGCACTTAAAAGATTATTAAAAAAAAAAAAAAGGAAAGAAAAAATAAGAAAAAGGATTCCCAGTCTGGGGATGGAGGGAGTGAACGAGGCTATGGCAGTAGAGGGCAGATCCGGCTGGCAGCTGGGAAGGGGAGAGCGGGGTAGCCTAGCACCTCACCCTCCAGCAGGGCGATGCCTTTCCGGATGTCATCGTTGTACTTGCTTCGCACCAGGCACCAGGCATACTCAAACTGCGTGCTCTTGGACACGGAGCCTGCTGCCTTCTCAGACTGAAACTTCTTTTCAAACTTCTGCCATAGGAGAGGAGAGGAGTCATTTAGAAATGAAGGGGCCCGCCATACTCTAGCAGGACCTGCGTGTCCAATTCCCAGTTACACCTCAACTGCCCCAGTCTCTGCCACATTTCCCTCGCGGCTCTTGGCGTCTGGCACCCCAGGTTCCGCTAGCTTCATCCCTGGGACCCAGACCCAGGGATTCTGCTTCTTAGCGACGGGCTGTCTCCTTGGACGGTAACCCCCGTCCGCTTCCCTCCCCCTAGTGGTACCGAGCGGAGATGCCGCCTCGTGGCGGCTCCAGGCACTGCTCCCGAGGCAGCTGACCCCGAGTGGCTAAACAGTAAACACGCTGTCAGAACTGCTCAACAACCACCCACGCAGTCCCTCTTCGGTGGCTGCTTCCCCCAACCAGCCCCACCCTGTCGGGCCTGGACCTTTTCTTATCTGCAAATTGGGAATAAAAACAGTCCTCACAGTGCGCACAGTAGCCCACAGAGCTACAAAGATTGAGATATGGCCTGCAATACACTTAGCACCGTTCCGGATTCTGTGAGTAATATATGAAAGAATCTTTATGGTAGTTGCTATATCCCCCCCCTCACTGAAGGAACACTAACAAAAAGGGAAAAAAAAAGGTGTCCGCACCCTGACCTCCTAACTCCTGCACGCGCCCAGAACCTGTCAGTTTTTCCACGCCAGACTGCAGGCCCCGGGTCTGGGGCGTGGCGGCCCAGAAAACTACAATTCCCATTAGGCTACCGGACAAAGTAGAACCTCTGGGCAGGGGCCGGACGCTGCAGAGGATGCCGGGAGCCGTAGTTCCGCTTCCCTAGGCAAAACTGATGCTGGGTGGAGGGTCTGGCCCCAACCGGACTCTCCTCGGGACCCGCCCGTCCGAATATTCCCTTTCCCTCCCTCGAGGCCAGGCCTCACCCGCAGGTCTTCCACAGACACCAGCTCGTTCAGTACGGCCTCCATGGCCGCCGCCCCTGCAATCCTCACACCTAGGTCGCTACTGTGCCACCGTCTCCATGGCCTACGGGCAGGGCTGGAGAGCCACTTCCGTCGTCCGGCGGAAGCGGGCCCCTTCCCCATAGCAGAGCCAATCACCTTACGCAGCTGATGCCGAGCCCGCCCCTCTCCGCCGGTGGCGCCCCGCCCCTTCCCCCCTGCGCCGCCAGCGCACACATTGGGGCTCTAATGCGCACGCTCCGAAAGGTCCCTCTCTCACCAACCACCTGCGGACCTCTTTACAGTACAATTTGATGTCCCGTGTTCGTCCTCGCGAGTGCCCCGCGTGTGCCTTCCTCCACCGAGGCTAACTTAACAGAGTTTGGGCCTATGTCTTGGTGATTAGCCCTTGGGCTGAAAAACTGAAGAAAGAGGGTGGTGGAGGACCCGGCATGATCTTAAAATTGAGGG